ATAGATTGGTAATGTCTGAGGAGTTAAAGGACTGGGCACTCTGCATTTAAATGCTTATGACTGAGAGAAGATTCTTCTTCCTCTAGTAACCTTATTTTCCTGTAGTTCTCTGGCTAAACAGTGGACCCCATGAAAATTTACCCTTTCCACGTGAACCTGCTCATTGATGCTCCTATTTTTCAGATCTTAGTTATTTCCAGTCTACAAATAAGTCATTTCTCTAGACAGTTCTAGGAGAAAGTATTTTACTGAATACTTCCTGGCTCTTATAATTTTCCATGATGTTCCCTGGGCCACAGATGCCAGAGCTGTTATATAGTCATATCTGCTGTGACTGGACTCCCAGGATCTTTTGATCTCTGAATTGTGTCCAGTTGTTGGTTTCTGTAATGATCTCCATTTGAGGTAAACAGAGACTTTTTGAGTCAGAACTGATACTCTGAAAACATATATATATATATATATGTATATATATATATGTGTGTGTGTGTGTGTGTGTGTGTGTGTGTGTGTACAGGTATATAACAATAATAAACAAGAAAAAGAGGTCATCAACTTGAGAGTGGGGGACATGGAGGAGGAATGGTATCTGGGTGGGGCTACAGAGAGGAGGAAAGTGATGTAGTTCTATTTAAATTAAAAACATACTTTAAAAAGAATCATGAGAACTAACCCCTAATAAACAATGAATATTTCTTATCTCTGTGAGCCATATGGTAAATGTGTCAGATTTGACAAAGTCTATGCATTCAAAGAAAAAGTTTGAATTGGCTTTCTATTGGGAAGACTCACAACATGAAGAAGAAAAACTGACCTGACAAGTGATGGATCTGTAGTGGTGGATGTTGCTACATATGTACATCATGGGAGGGGAAAAATGAAGACTGTAAGAATGAGAAGTTTGGGGGAATGGCGGTCAAATGATACCTTCTGGGTATAGCACAGCCATTGCAAGTGTGAACTATGCAGCCTGCACTGGATGTACAAAATACATCCCGTCAATTGTGGGTCAGGAAAGGACTCATTATGAGGCTTTGATCATGAGCTGTCTCCCAGTGATGGCCTGTGGGTGAAGGAGACCCACTGTCTTTAGTTGTGTGCCCACCGGTGAGCCCACCCTAGTTCCAAACACATGTTTGGATAGTGAGCTTTTGTTAAAAGTGGTGGGAAACCACAAAACAAAAAGACACAGACAAGGTAATGGGACTTTCAGGGATGAGATGAGAGTCGCCACGCATGGGAGGGAGATAAAAGAAGATGGGATAGGAACCATCAGAAAGTGGTATATACACATATGATGTTGTCAGTGAACATGACCATTTAATAAAAAAGGAGAAAAACAACCTGTAAAAGGGTGGAATTCACTCTGGAAAGAGAAATGTTGTGAATTGATCTAATGTCTATGCTTCAGTCAAGTTGCTGAATAGAAATTTCATCTTTTCCAAGCATCAGCTACCTCTGAGGTCCATGTGCTGTTGTTCAGTAGGCAGAGCTATGAGGAGGTAGCTATGTGCCTGGAATGATGTACTGAGTAAAGGAAGTCTCAGATTCCATATGGATATAAATATATCTGATGCCTTAATACCGGAGTCCAGCTCCAATGAGGGATGCAAGAACAGTGACGGGAAGAATCAGACATGGGACACTTCTCAGTTTCATCTTAGGGGAAAAGGACAGAGAGAAAGAACTACATCCCCTGTGGAGATGCAGGTCCCTGCAGGGGACGTAAGGAGTAGGCGAGGGAAGGAAATGAGGCAGGACATGGTGGTTGGGAGAATTTCACTGCCTGGCTGACTAGCAGCCAGAATGCTTCTTTATTTTTACAGAATTTAGTAAGTAGGAATACATTCATGTTGTTCCAAAACACATCGCAACATTTTTTTTTTGGTTTTGGACATGTGTTTCACCTCCTTGTTCTCATTTTTTAGTCATCATTAGTAAACTGTAACAGGACAGAGCTATCATTTACAATCATTTTCCCTCAAGTTTTGATGTCATTGATAAGCAATTATCTTCCATAACTCATCAACCCCATAACCCAATTTTTAAGACTCTAAAGGCATATGACAGCCTGTTCCCAGACTAGTAAGTCTTGTGGCTACAAGGACACCAAATTAAAATCTCCAAGCTAGTCTGGGCATATTGCCTGTCACAAGCAATGTGTTATTAACTCTTCATGGTTAGAGTGCCCAACAGATACCCTCAGGACAAAGCTGATGCAGTTACTATTCACATTCTTGCATAACACAGTGTTTACAATTATATTTTTGTAGAATTTGTCTACATGTCTAATCGCGGCATTCCGTTGTTCTTTGGTCAGTTGACACCATACTGGCTCTGCATGTGCTAACTTTTCTAGGAAGGGTAGGTCCTGACATCTATTTCTTTTATTGTCCTGATTTTCCATTCTTTGTTCATCGATATATGTATCTGTGTAGGGCAGAGATAACTTCAGCTAATCTAATTTTGTTGCTGTGTGTGTTAAGAATTGCCTGAGTGTGTAGTAGGAAGAGGCAATCTGATCTGCAGCCAACTCCTCTGACCATCCACACCTTGTTGACCTTGTCTGAGTTTGCTTTTCTTGAAATATCTTTTTCCTGCACAAATACAGGGACAGATGTTTCAAGAATGTCTTCCTCGTAAACTCTTGTTGCAATAGGGTCTCTATCATTGTTACAATTCTACAAAAAGTAAAACAACATCAAGATTCCTAAAACTGTTTACTTTGCCTTCAGGAGGGTACCAAGGCCTGTCATTAACTTTGTAATCGAGAATCCTTTCCTTTTTCATACTAGTTCTGTGTTTCTGAGGCAAAACACAAAAACCTAATAACTCAGTCATAGTTTCTCAGCTTCTAAAATTTCCCTAAGGTTTTCTTCATAAATGATTTGTTCCAGATCCTCTACCTCGTCTCATTAGTACCACTAAAGTAATAATTTCCATAGAAGACTCAATTTCTTATACAGCTAATTCTCCATAAGTGTTATTCTTAACATAAGCTTTCACAAGCTTCTTGTTTCACAACAAGAACTGTTACATTGTCCCAGTAATAAATTCCATAGAAGACTCAATTTCTTATACAACTAATTCTCCGTAGCTTTCACAAGAACTGTTTCATTGTCCCAGTACTCACCTCTGATAATGGGCCCTTAACAGCAAGGAGTTCAAAATTAAACATGTCAAAGGCATAGGCAAAAGAGTCACGCAGCAACTTCCAGCAAGAGCAATGAAGGGTCAGCCCAAGCCATCCAAGCTCTGTGATTTTTGTCAAGTAGCAACTCCAGGATGTTTGGAATCGCCACCTTAACTCAGACCAGCACTAGAAACCAATATTGCCATGATCCTGGCATGCTGGCATGCTGCTGTTAAAACTCATGAAAACTTCAGGACTAAAGATGAAATTCTAGTAGAAAACTGTCTCCTTCCCATGCCTGGCCCCTTTTTCTTAGCTACAGTGGTTTCTAGAAATTTTCATTTGGTTAACTGCCACTGTGTTTTCTTTTCTTTTCCGAGACAGGGTTTCTCTGTATTGTTTTGGAGGCTGTCCTGGAACTCGCTCTGTAGACCAGGCTGGCCTCGAACTCACAAAGATCTGCCTGCCTCTGCCTCCCAAGTACTGGGATTAAAGGCGTGTGCCACCAACGCCCGACTAAAACTGTTTTCTTATCACATACTGTTTTCACATCTCCCAAATCAAGATCTTGGTTCATTGTGGAGATTATAGTACCCCTTAAAACTGTGTGAGGAACTGTCGAGAAAAGTTTCAGAGTTAAGTTTCCAATTTAGAGCAGATGAACCTTTAGACTTTCCAAGTCATGGTGCTCTAGAAAGAGTTATAGCATGGTAACCATGGAAACTGGATCACAAAGCCCCACCAACCTTCACCTTGTTATTTTCTGGAGGAAATGGTTGAGGTAGTAGTGGAGACAAAATAGGTTCTTAGTGACCTGAACTTCCAGGCCAGGTAAGGCCAGTTACTTAATTTCCATGGAAGTATCTAACTCTGATATTAACAACTGAAATAATGGGACAGCATGCCCTGGATGGACAAGAGCTAAAACCCCAATGCTTTGAGATAGTTCATGAAAGCAACCACTCTAAGACTGGTTGGCACAACTCACCTTCAAACAAACTTCAGCAATGTTCCACGCATCCTGTCCAGCAAATGAGATATTTCCTCCAGTCTGTTTTGTTACTTGTGTTTACAACAGTCTTGACACATAGTCTAGACTTGCATTGAAATAACAACAATCCTTCTGCCTCAGCATTTTGAGAACTGAGGTGCTAGCCATGAGCAATTACTCTTATTGATTTGTCTCACTCCACTATTCAGACCCAAACTGCATGGACTTCTGGCATCCTTTTTTTTTAATTTTTAATTTTAAGTTTAAATTAGAAACAAGGTTGCTTCACATGGCAATCCCAGGTCCCTCTCCCTTTCCCTCCCCTCCTCCACCCCAATATCACCTCATTTCCCCAGGGAGGGTGAGGCCCTCCGTGGGGGTGTCCATAGTCTGTCATTTCATCCAGGGCAGGGCCTAGACCCTCCCCCAAGAGTCCAGGGTGAGAGTGCATCTCTCATTGTTGGATGGGCACGCAAAGTCCATTTGTATACTCGGGATAAATACTGATCTACTACCCAAGGCTCAATAGATTGCCTAGGCTTCCTCACTGACACCCACATTCAGGGGGTCTGGATCAGTCTCATGCTGGATTCCCAGCCATCAGTCTGGGGTTCAGGAGCACTTTTAAAGACACATAGAAACCAGCCACATTGAGAAGATCTGAAAACAGGAGTTGCTCGTTTTCTCCCGTCCCCAAAACTAATCACTCTCCCTGTCCCACAATTCCTCAGTGCTGCTAGGTGTGTTGATGAGAAAGAAATGTCTTAGTGTGTCTTTTGAATTTACCTGTTTCATCTTGAGACTGACGTTACCAGTTTATTTCATTGTTTTCACCAAAATTGCAGTTTGGGTTAAAGAAATGGAGCATCTGCATCATTCGCAAAGGAACGCTGTTCTTAACCCGAATTGTGAAGTTACATGGAAAAACAATATAAAATGAGTACTTTAGAGATGCAAAGGGGTGAGAAAAGAAGGGACCAGTCAGAGAAATATAACAACATTTGTGGGACAGTATCAGAGTTTAATGGAAGAATAGTTCTCTTAAAAAACTACCCTGATACCTTCATGCTTCCAAACCATCATGTCGCTCCCCTACAGATCCCCAACTCAGAGGTCACACAACGTGTTTCTAGGTTTAGCTCCAGAACCACATCTGTCTGTGATGTTCACCACGCATAGTGGTCATTGCACCACCACTCTGAGATGTGTACAGCCGTCTCCATTGTTTACCTCCTGGCTTGGGCTATGCTGAGCCTCAAACAGGAAAATTCCAAGAACCACCAACACCAAGCTGCCCAATGCGATCCTGGTAAGAGTCTCCACCGTGTGGTCTTGAAGAGATGAGCCTGGGTGATTTCAGACACAAGGTTATGCTGCAGTCCGGGATCCACAAGCCACCCGGGGCAACTACCTCACCAGGTCAAGACTTGACTCTCTGTATCCAGGTCTGTAACTGTTTTTCTCACTCACCTGTTCTGGGGTCTGACATGTTTGCTGAAGGACTGGTGAACTCATCCATTCCTAAAAACCATAGAGTGGTAAAGAGAATAGGTCTTCAACTGTTTTCTAGGTTTTTTTATTTTATATAATTTTTAAAATTTGTATTCAACCCTAGCTCCCTCTCCTCCTCCCCCGTCCCCACACCAGTCTACCCAGCCCCCCCCCGGGCCAATCACCACTCCGTTCCCAAGGGAGGGTGAGGCCCTCCATAGGGGATATCCAGAATCTGTCATTTCGTTCAGGGCAGGGCCTAGGCCCTCCTGCAAGTGTCCAGGCTGAGAGAGCATCCCTCATTGTGGGACGGATACCCAAAGTCCATTTGTATGCCAGGGATAAATGCTGATCTACTGCCCAAGGCCCCATAGATTGTCCAGACCTCCTCACTGACACGCACATTCAGGGGGTCTGGATCAGTACTATGCTAGCCTCCCAGCCATCAATCTGGAGTCCAAGAGCTCCCCCGTTGTTCTGCGGGTTTCACCAGCCCAGTCTGGATCCCTTTGCTCATCACTCCTCCCTCTCTGTCACTGGTTTCCACGAGTTCAATTCAGTGTTTTGCAGTGGGTATTTGCCTCTGCTTCCATCAGTCACTGAATGAAGGTTCTAGGATGGCATATAAAATTTCCTAGATTTCTTACTCTCTATAAATGTATGTTATTCTCATCTTAATGATTTGGGACAAAGCACTTGATTGTTGGCTAAGGTTTCTTTCCATAAGCTCGTCTTGCTTTTGTATATAACCCTGGGCTCACACCACCTACTATGAGCTGCGTAGGGAGAGATCTCATGTATCCACAACACTGATCACACCTGTTTGGGCGTGGTCACAGGTATGTGGGGGTAGGAGAGATAAAGGGAAGGAAGAACGGGCTTGCTCTGTCTCTGGGAGCTGTGATCCTTGTCGGAGAGGAGCAGAGTGTGGTACTGGCCTCAGTTCTCAGCTTCTCATGCAAGTGACTTCTCTTTCTCTAATAAAGTATCATACGAGCCCCCTTCCCGGTATCCCTGGCATGGTTCGTTTACCATTATCAGAGCTGGGTCCTCCCACATCCACGAAAATGGCCTACAGACTTGCCTACAGACAAATTTGATGGTGACAACTTTTCAAATCAGGTTCTGTCTCTCTAGATGACTCCAGCTTGTTTCAAATACACAAAAAACTAATCACCACATAATGCATTATATATATATATATGCATATATGTGTGTGTGTGAGAGAGATTATGTATGTATATGTATACTATGTATTTTATAAACTATGATATATTTATATATATTTGTTTTACATATTATATAATATAGATTTGTATGTGATATTATATAGTATATATACTGTTATAAATTAACAAAAACATTTAGCACCTTGTTTCTACATTTTAGGAAAGAGAGATGTCTCAGTGGATAAGAGTGCTCAGTGCTCTGACAGAGGACCTGAGTTCAGTTCCCAGCATTCATGTTGGTAGTCACAACTGGCTGTAACTCTAGATTCAGGTGAATTCAACGCCTCTGACATATGTGGGCACTTTAGTCATGAGCACATGCTTTCTCCATATTCATGCTCACAATCAAAAATGAGATCATCTTATTTTTTCTACATTTTAGAGTCTGTGTAGAGACAGTCAGAAAACAACAACCAATTGGATAATTTTAAGCAAATGAACAAAAATACTAAGAATGGATGTTTTCAAATGCAAGCATATGGTATCTATTATAGATTAGCATGCAAGTATTTTTACCCTGGAATATGTACACCTAAGTATACACACAAAGCAAGAAATGTTTGGGTACAAATAAAAAGTTAAAATTACAACTTATTTTGGCTGATGCAAATATCATCAGTAAATCACAGTTTAAAAAACAGTGGTGTACCAAGAGAGGGTTTCCTGAGCTCTCCTGGAGAAAAAATTAGGAGAAGATTAACAGGTTGTTTTGCTAAACACTTGTTACCTGCCATTCCGCACAGCAGGTGCCTCCACTGCTCAGAGTGTCTATCTCCATTTCAGTAGCACAGAGCAAACACAATAGGAAGAGACCTCTTTGGGGCATGAAGGTCATTCACAACCCAATCACAAAGGACTTCCCGGCCAGGCGGTGGTGGCACATGCCTTTAATCCCAGCACTCGGGAGGCAGAGGCAGGCGGATCTCTGTAAATTCCAGGCCGGACTGGACCGATAACCTCCAAAAGAATACAGAGAAACCCTGTCTCGTAAAAACTAAAAACAAACAAACAAAAAAACAAAGGACTTCCCAGTAACTGGAATAGTGTTTATCTGGAAAAAATTGCCCAGAGACAATGTACAGAATTGAAAAACCAAGTCATGAAGGAATGCCCAAAGATACAGCCATTGTTTGAACCAGACAAGGGGAGCAATGCCCAGAGATGTGAGCACCATCTACACACCACTGACCTTGAATGTACTCACTCATATATGGATTTTAGACATGGATCAGGGGAGTGTCAGCCTACAATCCCAGTGCCAGTGAGTCTGGGAAACAGGGAGGTTCCCAAGAGAGATGCATGATACCCCAGAGAAGTGGAATGAGGCAAGATCTCCTGAGCAGATTGGGAACATCAGGGGAGGGGAGAGGGAGTCAGGAAAAACAGAGGGGGGAGAGGAGGAAAGGAGAAGAAGGAATGGGGAAGCAGGAAGGTTGAGTTGAGGTAAAAATAGAGGAGAGCAGGATGAGAGATTGAGTCATTATAGGCTTTAGGAGAGAGCTGACACTAGTGATATTTCAAGATATCTACAAGGATAACCTTGAAAGTCTGTGCAGAGGTCTGACTGACATCTGCAAGCCCTGGAAGGAATGCCTAGAAAAAAACAGCACCCAGGGAAGATATCATACTTAGATTATACACACCTACCTACATCTAGCTTATTCACATGAATTCAATAAATTTCTTAATTTAATAAAAAAATGTCTTTGACAGTGGGGAGGCCAGCATGGGACTGATCTGGACCCCCCAAATGTGAGTGTCAGCGAGAAGGCCTGGGCAACCTATGGGGCCCTGAGCTGTGGATCAGTGTCTATCCCTGGTATACAAACAGTCTTCATGTGCCTATAGCACAAAGAGGGATGCTCTCTCAGCCTGGACTCTTAGGAGAGTGCCTGGACCCTACCCAGAATGAAATGACAGACTCTGGATATCCCCTATGTGGAAGGATTTGGCAATAGGGTGGGAGGGGGGGGGGGGGGAAGGGGAGTGCGGGAGGAGGGGAGGGAGAGGGAACTGGGATTGACATGTAAAACAAGCTATTTAAAATTAAAATAAAAAATGATTAAAAAAATGTCTTTGAGATAGTGTCTCTTTATGTAGCTCCTCTGTCCTGAAAGTTGATATGCAGACTAGGCTGGCTTAGAACTCACAGAGATCTGCATGCCTCTGCCTATCAAGTGTTAGGATTAAAGGTCGTGTACCACCATGCCTTGATTAGTAAACGTAAATTCAGAAGTGCAGCTTGTACCTACCTTATAAAATGTTTCTCTTTCGGACTTGTATTTATTTTGCAGCCTATATTTTCTCTATATTATTTTAGTGGTTTGAATGCAATTGACCCCCAATGGGAGCGGCACTATTAGCAGGTGTGGCTTTGTTTGAGTGGATAGAGCCTTGTTAGAGGAAGTGTGTCACTGCTGTTACATATGCTCAGGATACCACCCAAAGTGTCAGATCATTTCCTGTTACCTTCTGGTCAAGACATAGCCAGCACCATATCTGACTGCATGCTACCATGCTCTTCCCCATGATGACTGTTAGGATAAAGCACCTGGGGGACCTGGGTGAATTCCATGGCAGGCGAGGATGACCAAGGTCGAGGGACAAACGTGCCAGGCAGACTGAACTTAGGGAGAAGTTTTATTAGAAAGGGGAGAGAGGGGGGAGGAAAGAGAAAAGAGGTAAAGAGACACAGACAGAGAAACAGAGAGAGGACAAAGAAAAGAGGGGGACAGAAAAAGTCTTGTCTGCCCTACGGGAACAGCAGGACAGAGAGAAGGAAAGAGAGGAGAGCAGGAAGAGGAGCAGGAAAGAGAGGACTGGGAAAGAGAGAGCAGAAGGAGAGCATAAGTGGGCGGAGCTCTTTCTTTTAAAGGGGTCCTTTGCACCTGGGCTGACCAGAGTACTGCCTGAGTGCATTCTGCCAGGTGACAGGGGCAGGCCAGCATAATGCCTGAGTCCTTACAAAGATAATTGCCTGAAACTCTGAACTGTAAGCCACTGCCTCAATTAAATGTTTTCCTTTATAAGAGTTGCCATGCAAATGGATGGCACTAGAGGAAACCATCCTGAGTGAGGTAACCCAGCCATGAAAAGACAAACATGGTATGTACTCACTCATATATGCATTTTAGACATGGATCAGGGGAGTGCCAGCCTACAATCCCAGTGCCAGTGAGTCTGGGAAACAGGGAGGTTCCCGAGAGAGATGCATGATACGCCAGAGAAGTGGAATGAGGCAAGATCTCCTGAGCAGATTGGGAACATCGGGGGAGGGGAGAGGGAGTCAGGAAAAAGAGAGGGGGAGAGGAGGAAAGGAGAAGAAGGAATGGGGGAGCAGGAAGGTTGAGTTGAGGTAAGAATAGAGTAGAGCAGGATGAGAGATTGAGTCATTATAGGCTTTAGGAGAGAGCTGACACTAGTGAGATCCCCAGAGATCTACAAGGATAACACCAACTGGCAAACTAAGCAATAGTGGAGAGACTACATTAATTGCCCCTCCTTGATGGTAAGGTTGATGACTACCTTATATGCCATCCTAGAACCTTCATCCAGTGACTGATGGAAGCAGAGACAGATACCCACAGCTAAACACTGAACTGCACTCCTGGAACCTAGTGACAGAGATGGAGGAATGATGAGCAAAGGGGTCAAGACCATGATGGTGAAACCCACAAAGACAGCTGACCGGATAAGGGGGAGCTCTTGAATCCCAGACTGATGCCTGAGAGGCCAACAGGGGACTGATCCAGACTCCATGAATGCAGTCTCAGTGAGGAGACCACAGAAATCATTGGGGTC